GAAAGAAAGAAAGAAAGAAAGAAAGAAAAGAAAAAGAAAAAGAAAGATCTCACCACAGCACTTATTTATAATTTGGAAGTCCTGAATGTCTTTTCCTTTTTACTGATCTTCTCTTTTTTTAAATTTTTTTAATGTTTTTATTTTTGAGACAGAGAGAGGCAGAGCATGAGCAGGGGAGGGGCAGAGAGAGAAGGAGACACAGAATCCGAAGCAGACTCCAGGCTCTGCACTGTCAGCACAGAGCCCGACGCGGGGCTCGAACTCACGGACTATGAAATCATGACCTGAGCCGAAGCCGGACGCCCAACCGACTGAGCCACCCAGGCGCCCCAAAAGAAACCCATCTTAATGAATAGTTAAATTAATAAAAAAGCTAGTAAAAATGGTAAATCAATTTAAATTGCTAAAGCTTATGTTCTTTTCCCTTGCAATTCTACTTTTACTAATGCGCCCTATGAAATTGCTAGCCCACGTATACCTAGATGTACGTACAAGGAAATTTATTACAGCATTATTTGTAACTGCAAAAAATTGGAAGCCACTTAAATGCCCATCAGTAGTGAGTTAAATAAATCATAGTACATCTATACAATGGATAAATGCAGCCCTAAAAACAGATGAGGTTGATCTAAATGTACTGATACATCCATGATAATATTAAGTTAAAATACATCAAATGATAAAATAATATGTATGTACGCATATATTATTTTTGGGTTTTTTTTTTTGAAAACAAAACACACGCACAAGCACACATTATAAATCTATAGAAAAAAAAATCTAAAAGAATAGATACCTCTGTGGAGAGGGTGTGGAGTAGGTTTTGCTTTATATTCATGTACTCTGTCTTGTTTGAGTTTATATTATAGTAAACTCCATATAATAAACAACCATAATGTATTGCATTTGTAATTTTTTTAAGTTTTTCTTTGTGTTCTTTCTTTTTTTTTTTTTTTTTTGAGAGAGAGAGGGCTCGAGTGAGCGAGGGGCATAGAGAGGGAGAGAGAGAATCTCACGAGGGGTAGAGAGAGGGAGGGAGAGAGAGGGTTGGCGGGGGAGAGAGAAGTGGGGCTCACCCAAAGTGGGCTTGAACTCACAAACTGAGATCATGACCTAAGCTGAAGTCAGACGCTTAACCGACTAAGCCACCCAGGCACCCCTATTTTTTCTTCTTCGAAGTAAGCTCCATGCCCAACGTGGGGATTGAACTCACAACCCTGAGATCAAGAGTCACATGCTCTACCAACTGAGCCAGCCAGGCACCACCTGCATTTGTAATTTCTAAAACCGAAGAAAAGATGCTTAAAAATGACTCCAAAATTAAATTACTAATGACTGGCAACTTGCTGTTGTTATTATTTATCACTGTGTTGTCTAAATATTCCAGAGACATCTCCAACTATAGTGAATACTTGCTTATGAAGTCCAGGTAGGGTTCGTGGTTTTCAGGAAATGTTCCCCAAAAGCCTTGTTCTCATGAATATATAAATATATACGTATATAATTTATGTGTCGATAGATTTATTGAGATTTGTAACCTAGCAATGTGCTCATTAAAATTTATTTGTTAAAGGTCATCATCCTTCTATGGACCATAAATACCAGTTTATTAGGCAAAAGCTGAAGCTAGGCATAATTGCCCCCTTTTCCCCATATGTCGTGTGGCCAGGACGGAGGTAGAAATTCTGTGGTGAGCTGTAGCCAGTAGCCGAATTGCCCCAGGTGGGTTATTAGCACCAGCAAATCCCTTCAAAGGAAGCTTGTAAAACAGTGGTCATAATCTTTTGGGGGCCACAGACCCCTAGACATAGTCCTGCACGGTGCGGGGGTGAAAGAACACGAGCTTTGCAACAGGACAAATCTTTGCTCACATCTCAGCTCCGCTAATTTAATTGGTGACGTTAAGCAACTTACTTAACCTCTTTGAGCCTCTCTTTCCTCATCTGTAACATGCCTGGTACAGGGAAAGAACTTTGTAAAATGTAGCAATTTATCAAAATACTTTTGAATATGATGGAAACCATAGACTTCGTCCTCAGGAAAAAAGAATCCATCTTGCATTTTTAGTATGTTGCATGCAATTTCAAGGGCTTTGCCCACCCATCGAGGCCATTCTGGACCTCTGGACCCCTGGTCTAAGGTTTTGAAAGAACATGTGAAGAAACCTGAATAGTAGAAATAATCTTTTCTACTCCTTTTGCTGGTTGTCATTTCAGATTGTGTTTTCTTTTCCTTTTTGTTGTGTTGGATTATTTGTGTATTATGCCTATCGGGACTCAATCAGACCAAGAAGATAGATTGTACATTAAAGAGTGTACAACAGAGCAAAGTAAATGGGGGCTGTCTAGCACTTTAACGCATCAGTTAGATTTAGCAATTTACCAACAAAGTGGTAGAAAAGGTCATGGCAATTCACTAGCCAGATTAGGTTTTCAAAAACCACTCCTGAGCATATGGATTTAATAGAGCCATACTTCTGGTTCTTTAGATCAAAGATAAAGTTACTTTAAACTGCTTTGGGTGAGCTGTTCAGGCTTAACCTGCTAGTCCTTAGCTCCTTTTTGTAATCAGAGCCAGCTAGGACTATTCTCTTTTATTTCCAAGGCTTCAGAAAAGAGAAAAACCAAATGCCTTCAGGTAGTCACCCAAAGGAATAGCATTCCTGTTCCTTTGCTTTAGTCTGATCTCCAAGAAACACAGAAACCCTCTGGAATGCGCCTCTGCCATTAATTCAAACAGTACCCAGACCACTGGTGAAAACATATCTATATAATCTGTGAGAGCCTATTAAGCACGGGTCTAGCCCTCATCCCCTTGATACCTCTCCCCCAAATCCATAAGAATCGTCAATAAAACCTAAAAATGAGTGAACATTTCAGGAAATGAGAAAACAAAATCCCATCTGGATGTTGTTATCACTGACTTTACCCACACTCAGGACCTGCTACTGCTGAGGGTGGAAAAGATTGGATTTGAGGGGAGAATGGGGTTGTACAGAGAAAAGCAACCCTATATTTTCTCGTTGAAATTGGAAAGAAGGAGAAAAATAACATGCGTCATTCCAAAAAGCCAGTTTTGTTACAAGAACTCCATCCCAAACAGTTCTCTAACATCATCATTGCTCACAAAAGAAAAATGAATTGGTTTATAAATCCCATTGCTTGCTAAAAAGGACCCGGGACTCCTTGGTAAAATGGCTGATTCTTGAGCTTAGCAGAAAAAGTACAAGATGAGCCTATAACATCCCGTTGTGCTGAAACTAAGGAAATACTCAAAAAAAAAAAAAAAAAAAAAAAGCTGGGAACATGTCAAAAGGACACAAGAGCCAGATGGAAGGACTCCCACTGGCCAAAAGAGGGCCAATTTGAACATCAAAATAGATGATAGCAACAGATTGTAACCCATCGAATAAGGGAAGAATCCATGAGTTCGTGTTGGTATAAACACATAAACAACGGAAGGAATATATAAGTAAATGTGGAAGAAGAAAACACTCTCCCTTACAATAAAATACGAACTAATACATGTTGAAAAACAATGGAGTTTTAAAAATCATCACTTTGCAACCAAGTCACTGAGGCAAGAATCATCAATAGATGTAAAACTACTGGGTGAAAGTTTGATAATAATGGGATGTTTACATCGCCTCCAGATATTCCCCCCGGGAAATTAGTTAATTACAAAGGGGAAAATAGGAACTGCACAGTGGAGAAATCTAGAATCATCGTCAGAATCAAATGATCATCGCCAGTAATGGGAAAAATTGGCATCATGAAAGACAGGAAAGGACTAAGGATCTGTTCCAGATTCATCTAACGAGACGTGGTAACTAACTGCAATACATGATCTTGAATTGGATCCTGGACCAAGCAAAAAATAGCTATAAAAGAAATTAGTAGGATAATTGGTTAAATTTGAATATGGAGTATGAATTAGATATTCGTGCTGTATTGGTGTTCCACAAAGAGAATGTCCTAAAGAAGTACACACTGAGATATTTTGAGACATTTAGGGGTAATGAGGCATTATGTCTGCAACTTACTCTCAAATGATTAAGAAACAGTGTGTGTGCATGTGTGTGTGTGTGTGTGTGTGTGTGTGTGTGTGTGTGTGAATGGAGGAAGAAAGAGAAGGAAAAAGAAGAATAAAACATGGGGAAAATGTAACAGTGAATGTGGGTAAAGAACATATTGAAGTTCTCTGTCCTGTTGTAATTTTTCTGCAAGCTTGAAATCATATCAAAATAAAACACACACAAAAAAGGAAAGAAAATAGTATTTGTCCTACATTTAAAAAAAAAAAAAAGATGACAAAACGGTGGCAACCGTGGGCCCCTCTGAAGAAAACAGAGCCTTGGCCAAGAGTGGGTCATCCAGAGCAGCAAGCAGACGACTGCATCACCACAACCCTTGCCTAGGAGGACAATTCAGGAGTTACTCACAGCAGCGCAGTCTCATGTCAACAGTTGGGATGATCTTGTTGATGAGCCAAACATCTTCTTCCCAACTAACTACGTTTCCACCCAAACACTTCATAAAGTCCTCATTTTCCAGGACGTGGTCCCAGAGTTGAAAGTAGTACAAGCTGCCAGCGAAGCCAGGCAGTGGGCTTTTAACCTGGCTGTCCCAATTCTTGAGAAAATGTCCTAGAATCAGAGTCCCATTAGGTGTCAGGCTTTGTGGTTGATCCATCACTACCAGTATCCTTTCTATATTCAGGAAGAGCTCTAATCTGCCCTTGACACCATCCCATATCAAGCAGATCGTATGCCACTGAAACGGAGTCAGTTGGTAACGGATATAAAAAGTCCTCCCCAAGTTGTACAGTATTAGCTGCTGATGGTCTCCTGCAAGTCCAAGGTCTATGTCTTCTCTGCCCAGGAAGGTGTTATTAGTAATATAGGAGAAGGCCATCCAATTGCTTGATTTGTCATCCACGAATACCAGGTCAATGCATGCTGTGAATCGACTGAGTTCAGGAACCGTGTTGGTCAGGCTCACGTACGTGTCAGCTCTTCCATAAAAATCCAGTCTTTTTCCTTTCAGTGAAAGTGCATCTGTCCAAATTTGGGGATGGGGAAAGAGAAAGCAAATGAAATTTCAGTAACAAAAATTCAATTTTATCATCTTTGGCCACATAGTCATATCCAGGTTACACGATACCATTATGAGTCAATACTGCTGCAAAACAGCCCAAATAATGGAGATACACAAATCATCTCTGTTTGACATCGGCATGTGACATTTTTTGGCAGAAGAGTTTCTTCCTAATTTGCCTGCGCTAATATGAAAAGTCAGATTAGTGTTCCCAGAGCACACACCAGCTGGACATTTCAGGGAGGCAGCTAGAAGTATGTAAGTAGTTGGCAGGGAAGAGGCCAAAGAAAAGGCAGCTTGGACTTAAAATTTGCTGCACAGAATCTTCGCTCGTGTAATCAAAAGATAGCTATTTCCATCTACCTAACTGCCTTATTATATTCATGGTGCAACAGCAATTTATTTCTCCAATGCCTTTTCCTGAGCCAAATTACTTGATTTATTCTGTCTCTGGAGACCGCGTCTCGCTGAAGGCACCGACAGGGGCCCGGAGGGTGACCAGGCGGACAATACCGAAGCTTCAAGGCTTCTGTCTGCACTCAGAAATAAGATAAATGGCACTGCCTTGAATGTACCCCAATTCCCCCCTTCCAGCTCCTCACCAAGGGAGCTGCGTATCTTTAAGAGGTTCCAGGGGGCCATGGACCCAGTTACCACTGGCTCTGGAGTCAACGAGCCTGGGTTGGAATCTCAGCTCTGACATTCATCAGCTGTGTAACTTTGAACACGTACCTTAACCTCCCCATGCCTCAACGTTTGCCTCAATAAAATGGGGAGTCAGGGCCCCAGTATGCAGGCACAACTCGGGCCCACCATTCACATTATAATCTACGCCAGATAATACCCCATCTAGTGACCTTACAAGCTTGAAGATTAAGTGAGATGATGCATGCCAAGCCCTCTCAAACATTGCTGAAGAACATGGCCATCGGTACAGTCATTTCGTGGTCGATCTGGCAATATCTATGAAAATTTAAACTTGAGCATGCCCTTTGCTTCACAGGAAGCCATTGGTGAATGGTGACAGTATCAGCCTTACAAACCTCACACCCCAGGCCACGAGGCAAATATCTGAGAATTGGCAAATATCAACCTAATTCCAGCCCCAGCACGGTACCTGACAAACCAAAAAGAGCTTTATGACAGAACAGAATTCCAACCTCTCTCTGCAGCACACTACAAAGGCTGGCAGGAAGTGACCCCTTCCCTGCTTCTGGAAGATGTCCCCAGATGAAAGCTTCTAGGTATTCTCCAGCCCTACAATATTCTCTCGCCCTCCATTCCTCCACTGATGTCTTTCAAAGGCAAACGAGTACGTGCCTGCCCACACGCACGCATGCGCACACACGCGCACACGCGCCCCGCCGCCCCACCCCCCGCCTCCCGCCATGTGCCGGAACCCATACCATCCACCTGCCAGTGAGCTATTTCTGAACTGTCCATGGTGGATGAGCAAATGTTTATTTCTATCCCTGGCTTATGTGATTATATTATCTTATCATCTTTCATGTGGCTAATAAATCTAGAGATCATCCCACAAGGCGATAATCACTATGAAACCCAAATCTCGATTATGGTTGGTTAACTGCTTTTCTGTTCAACCCCCCAAAATGACGTCAAATACAACGTTTAAGAACAGGTTTTATGATGAGCATAAATCTCCAAGGCTCATTTGTCCTTTAAAGGAGAATGTATCATAATCCCATATTATCTACAGGGCCCCTCCTCTCTGCAATATACTCATATAAAGCCAGTTGCCAAAGGACACAAACATGCAACATAACTACGTCAGAAATATAAAAAGATGGCCCCTCGCTATTTTTGAAACACAAGTTACAACAAGGAGATAACCATTTTTACCTTTTGAAATGATAGCACTTTAGACTGAGAATAGCCAGCATTGACAAGCTTGTGAGGAAACAAGTCATTTTAATACACTGTCGTGGGAGCACCAATTAGTACGATCTATTTCTTTAAGTTTATTTATTTTTTAGTAATCTCTACATCCAACGTGGGGCTCCAACTCACAACCCTGAGATCAAGAGTAGCATGTTCCACTGACTGAGCCCGCCAGGCATCCCAAGCATGTGGCTCTTGATCTTAGGGTTATTTATAAGTTCGAGCAACACATAGGGTACAGAGATTACTTAAAAAAAAAATTAAATCTTGGGGCGCCTGGGTGGCTCAGTCAGTTAAGCGTCCAGCTTCGGCTCAGGTCATGATCTCACGGTTTGTGAGCTCGAGCCCCGCATCGGGCTCTGTGCGGCCAGCTCAGAGCCTGGAGCCTGCTTCGGATCCTGGGTCTCCCTCTCTCTCTGCCCCTCCCCCACTCTCGCTCTGTCTTTCTCTGTCTCTCAAAAAATTAATAAACATTAAAAATTTTTAAAAAATAAAAATAAATAAAATCTTTAGGGGCACCTGGGTGGCTCAGCTAAGTGTCTGACTTTGGCTGAGGTCATGATCTAATGGTTCATGAGTTCGAGCCCCACATCAGGCTCTCTGCTGTCAGCACAGAACCTGCTTCAGCTCCTCTGCCTCCCTCTCTCTCTGCCCCTCCCTTGCTCATACTTGCTCTCTCTCTCAAAAATAAACAAACATTTTTTTAAAAATCTTTAAAAAGAAAAAGAAGGCTCCTGGAGGAGGATCAATGTTTTTTAGCATATTCACAAAGATGTTCAACCAGCACAATAATTCAGTCTTTTTTTTTTTTTTTTTTTTTTAAAACATATCTAAAACTTGGGGATGGAACTCATGATCTGGAGATCAAGAGTTACATAGCTCTGCTGACTGAGCCAGCCAGGCTCCCCAATACAGTCTTTTTTTCTGACGGGCAATTTGCCAATATCTATGAACACTTTCATTGTGTATAGCTGTGTATATACTTTTGACCCATCAATTTATTCTAGACAAATGTACATGTATACAACAATGCAAGTACCAGGATATTTATTGCGGTATTGTTTGTAATTGAGAAAAAGTAAGAATATTTGTATGTCAGTCCATAAGTGACTAGTTAAGCAACTGTTACCTCTGTATAATGGACAATTAAAGCAAACAAGGTAGATCAATACAATCATGGAGAGATTTCCAAGGCTCCATATTATATGAAATGTGAGTTACATAAGTATAGACAGAATATTATCCTACTGTTTAAAATAAGAGAAAAATATGTGCCTTAGCATAGAAAAAAAGCCAGAAAAACACACACCAAGCAGTTAAGAGTGAGTATCTTTAGGGGCGCCTGGGTGGCTCAGTCGGTTAAGCAGCTGACTTCAGCTCAGGTCATGATCTCGTGGTCCGTGGGTTCGAGCCCCGCATCAGGCTCTGTGCTGACAGCTCAGAGCCTGGAGCCTGTTTCAGATTCTGTGTCTCCCTCTCTCTGACCCTTCCCCGTTCATGCTCTGTCTCTCTCTGTCTCAAAAATAAATAAATGTTAAAAAAAAATTTTTTTTTTTAAAGAATGAGTATCTTTAGGTGTGAGATTTAGGGAGACTTTTACTTTCTATGTTACTTATTTCAGTAATATTTGCACTTTTTATTTTTTTGTTTTTAATGTTTACTTTTTATAGAATTTTTCAAAATTTTATTTATTTTTTGATAGAGAGAAAGAGACAGAGTGTGCATGGGGGAGGGGCAGAGAGAGAGGGAGACACAGAATCCGAAGTAGGCTCCAAGGCTCTGAGCTGTCAGCATAGAGCCTGACATGGGGCTCGAACTCACGAGCCATGAGATCACGACGCTTAAACAACTGAGCCACCCAGGGGCCCCTTAATGTTTATTTATTTATTTATTTATTTTGAGAGACAGTGTGTGAGAGAGGGGGGGGGGGAGAGAGAGGGGAACAGAGGAACCAAAGCGGGCTCTGTGCTGTCAGCAGAGAGTCCGATGTGGGGCTCAAACTCACAAATGGTGAGATCACGACCTGAGCCAAACTCAGACACTTAATGGACTAAGCCACCGAAGTGCCCCGATATTTTCACTTTTTATACAATCATGTGTTAAATTTATAGTCAGAAAAATAAAGATGGATGGATGGATGGATGGATCGATCGATCGATTGATAGAACCACTCGTAGCCATACTTGAGACTCTGTGTTTCTGGGGGCAGAGGTAAGGTCTACCTGGATATGAGCAGAAGTTGGTGTAATGGAGTCCCAAGAACCAGCTCTGAGTCCTAGGTCTGCCCCTTACTCACTGCATGAACGTGGACAATTAACCCACGAGAAAGCTTTTAGGACAGTGGCATTTAGTGAGCACTGTATGAATGTTATTTTTTTTTCTTTTTTTTTTCCCTTCACTTTTAAATTTTATTTATTTTTTTTATTTATATATGAAATTTATTGTTGTATGAATGTTAAATACACCTACGTCACTTCTTTGTGTCTCATTCCTCCATGGTAAGATAGGAATAATAATTACCGTCCTCGCAGGGCCATTATGAGAGATGGCGCAGTAGTAAGTGCCATTTAGGTTTTATGTATGAAATGTTTATAAACTGTGAAGCCCCGTGTAAATGTCAGCTGCCATGTTCACCACTGTCATTCTTGGAAGTCTCTTTCTTCTCCCAAACCTCTTTTGTACCCTCACACAGGCAGGAGCGTCTGCACGGAGCCCTGCTGCAAGCCCCCGGGCCCCCAGCTGGGGCTCAGAGGGGACCAGGCTGTGCCGAGGCGGGACAAGGGCTTTGCCCTTCTGTTTGGACTGGCGAGCAGCGTTCTCAGCTGGGCCTCTCCAGGGCCTGCTTCAAAGGCCACTTGTGCCTTTGCATATGATTTAACTATCCATTGCAGATGTCTGCTTGGACGCTGCCATCTGTTCCCTGGCAATTTTCAAACCCAAATTGCATGATTGCTCCCCCGAAGCGTGTTCCCTCTTGATTTGGCTCCTCTGTGTCTCCTCGCCCCATCCTGTTTCCTTTTATTTTCAATTACATTTATTGTTTTCCTCGCTTAAAAGAAAA